GCAAGAGAGACATGAAAAGCAACACAAGCGTTGGGAGGTGAGAGGCAGGGCGGGGTACTTAGCTTAGCTGTGGGTGGGTTGGGTGGAGGGCAGCTGCTGCCTGTGCTGTGCACTCCATGTCCCCCGCCACTGCCACTCCCGTGTGAGCGACCTGCTGGGACGAGAGGAGGAAGATTAGGACAGAGAGAAGGGAGGAGGGGGAGGAGAGGAGGGGGAAGCAGACGGGTGGGGAGGGCAGTGAGGTAAGAAGCAAAGCAAAGTGAGTGAAGCGAGAGAGAAGAGAGAAGAGATTACAAGAATCATGCGTGCATGAAATGGACTGCTGCAGTGGCACACCCGAGAGACCGCATACCAGCTGAACCTGACTAAACCGAATACCTGAGCCTGTACCTGCTACCTTGCTACCTTGGGGGAGGGAGGTCTCTTGAGCGTGACAGAGGGCAGTGAGGGAGGGAGTTTGATGCATGATGAAAGCGAGACATGAAAAGCAACACAAGCGTTGGGAGGTGAGAGGCAGGGCGGGGTACTTAGCTTAGCTGTGGGTGGGTTGGGTGGAGGGCAGCTGCTGCCTGTGCTGTGCACTCCATGTCCCCCGCCACTGCCACTCCCGTGTAAGCGACCTGCTGGGACGAGAGGAGGAAGATTAGGACAGAGAGAAGTGAGGAGGGGGAGGAGAGGAGGGGGAAGCAGACGGGTGGGGAGGGCAGTGAGGTAAGAAGCAAAGCAAAGTGAGTGAAGCGAGAGAGAAGAGAGAAGAGATTGCAAGAATGATGTGTGCATGAAATGGACTGCTGCAGTGGCACACCCAAGAGACCTCATACCAGCTGAACCTGCCTATACCGAACACCTGAGCCTGTACCTGCTACCTTGCTACCTTGGGGGAGGGAGGTCTCTTGAGTGTGACAGAGGGCAGTGAGGGAGGGAGTTTGATGCATGATGCAAGCGAGGTGAGTGAGGTGAGAGCTTAGCTTGGGTGGGAGACGTAGAGAGCGCTGTGTGTGGGCCCGAAATCGCAGGTGGCGAGAGTGGTTCAGGCGCCCACCAGCGTGGCAGTCGTCCAGGGGAGGTGGGAACGGCGTGCGAAACGGCGTCCTGCAGTGGGTGGAAAGACGCGGCCACTGCGTGCGTCAGGGAAGTAGCTCGCGAAATGGACCGTGATACGAAATCGATCTGCGAAATCAGATCGTGATATTGATATTCGGAATCTATTCGCGAAATTGAAAGTTTTGGGAAACTGAAACACGAAATCGATCGGTGAATACGTTCCCCACGAGTGAAACGCAAAACGGAAAAGCGAAATTGAGAAGTGAGACATAAGAAATCGTTTTGCGAATTCGCATGGGTGTGGCTTCCAAAAATACCTGCTCCGATCGGAACTTGCACGACCTCGCCGAAATCGAACGTACTCGCAAAATCGGACGTAGTCGCCGAAATCGCACGGACAGCCAGACAGCGATGGTGGTTCGCGTGACATGTCGCCTCCGCACGGACAAAGCTGCAACATGCAACCAGCATGCAGTCGTCACGTCAGACGCGCCACTGAACAATCTCGCGTGTGCTAAAACGAAACCATATCACACGACTAAATAAGACTCAGATACGTGAACAACGAGCACACGCACTCAGATTTACCTCTTATAAGAAACTCGTCATCCCGCACTTGTTCTCCATGGTAAAAGATAAAATCGCCAGAGTTTCGACGCTTCATGACGCCAACACTCGATCTTCTCTTCCGTAAACGCAGCTTCTACGACAAAGGCAGATCTGAAGCACAACGCCTCCATCATCTATTCGGAATAAGCTTCGCTAGCGTCTCGTCTTTTCGAAGTCGCAGCAGCTCTAAGTAAACGAGCAGAAGAAGCTGAGCGAGAGAAAATGAGAGCAAGAGGCGAAAGAGCTGCGAAATCCGAGGCTCAGCTGAGAATGAGGCGATTTTCGACGGTCACGTTGGAATGTGGCGGGGGGTCACCAACTGCCTCTCCTCTCCTCTCCTCACAACAACCCTCTTCAGATCTACCGTCCAGAATCACTGGATTGACTGAAACTCTCTTGGTATCTCAGATCGTAGCCGTAGGTTCAGACCTTTTGCGTGTTTCCTCACGGCAACCCTGAGCAGTTCCTCATCGGCCTACAGGCTAAGCTGGCTGTGTTGTGGTTGCGACGAACAGTGACGTTGGCTGCAAACGGTTGGTCCGGTCAGGCTTTTTTTTTCCATGACAGGAGATTCGAGAGTCCACTTCAGTGGCTGGTTGAAAATCGTCCGCGTGGCACATGAATCTGCCGGTCAGGGAAGGGAAAAGATTATCGCCAACTTCTACGCCGTTCGCTTATCCCCTCTATTCACCTCAGCGGCTACGCGAGTCGAACGACACCGACTTTTCCAGCGAGATTCCGTTGACAATGGCGGGAGTTGCGGGATTTTGCTGGTGAACGTTGGAACTCCGTGACCTAGGAACCGTCGATTGTCAGCTCATCTGGAGCCGTAGGGCCATCGTGTCAGTTTGCAACGCGGCAAGCCCAATGGTTTGAATTTGAAGCCCTGGTTCCAACCACTAGGAGCGAAGTGAATCATAGCCGTGGATACAATATCTACGGAAGCAGCTCGGGTTGAGATCTGGGGTTGACGTCATCCACACTCTGACACTGCCCTACAGATCGCTGAGGTTTGGGGCAAACTGGAAGATATTCACGAAGCCTCTCTGTTTCGCATCTGTACTGTTACTCGTTGATTTGGCTGTGCAAAATATCTTCTGACACTTGCTGCCTCCACTGGTGTGAACGCGAATACTTCAGATAATCGGAACAATTACCGTAAATTCCATGTACACCAAGGGTACAATACTACAACACGGGAAATTCCGCATCACAAACATTATTGCTTGTGATGTTATGCTAATTCATCTTACGATGTGCTAACCTTACCAGTCCCAGTTCCTTGCATATTCTTACCCCACATCTATATCTTTATGTGATCATGATTGCATTGCAACCTTTTCGTTACAAACAAATAAAAAGTACTTGCATCTCAATGCTTGTAAAGAAACCTTACACTGTCAGTATTGACATGTCAGTATCAACATGTTTCAAAGTGCCGGTAGTGTTGTCACACTGTTGAAAATGGATACAGTATGCACAGCAGAGCCCTTGCTTGAAACTGCCACTCAAACCAGAACATTGCCAAAGAACTTGTGAGAATTTCAATACAGGTGGTCATCTGCATCAGCACAAGCCCAAATTGAATCAGATACAGTACACCCATGCACACATGCACAGCATGCACACACAGTGCACACATACACACAGGTATGCTCAAGTGCAAACATGCATGCATGGTGTACTCATGCATGCACACAACTACCATAATGAAGTTTCGGTATACTGTTGTACCCCTTGCCACTCGCACCACTCAGTGACACTCAACCATTCTCTCACCACCCACTCATGTCCACTCTCATTTACTCGCCACACTTACTTGCACCACTCACCTTGACCACCGAATCCCACCACTCACTCCCACCTCTCACTCCATCTCACCACCTCGTCACTCCCAACCCTCCACCAATCACCGCTCACACTCGCCACTCACTCTCACCCGCTTTGTTCACCACACTCTCACGATTGTCGGCACTTTAGCCTCACCACTCTAACCGCACCGCACTCACCAACACCACCCCTCTCTGTTCTCACCGCCACCAGCTTGCACCCACACACGCGCACTGTTGCACTTCTTGCCACTCCCCACTCTGACAACTCACCACTCCCTCACTGCACTCTCACCACTCACTCCCTATCCACTCTCTTTCCTCAATCTCTACACTCACTTGCACAACTCACTCCATTTCACCACCTGGCCACTCTACCCCTCCATCACTCACAATTCCCAGCGCTCACCCGCACCCCTCACCTCTTGCCACTCGGTCTCAACACACACCCCACGATTCTCACCACTTTAACCTCACCACTCTAACCACTCACCCGCACCACCTCCTCTACTCTCACTGCCACCAGCATGCGCTCACAGCCATTCTCACCTCACACACTCTCACGGCTGTCACCTCTCGCTCTACCTCACTCACCACTCACGCACTCTTGCTGCTCACTCCCAGCACACACTCAAGCTTACCATTCTCACAACTCGATCATTCTCACAACTCAATCCCATGCTCACTCTCACCTCTCGCACTCTCACTTCCCACCCTAACCACTGGTGCTTACTACTCAACCTCACCACCACGCATTCATTCACTCACTCACAATAAAAATTCGATTGCAGCACTCTCACCACTCAACTTCCTCAGTCCCTCCTGTGGCTATCATCACTGTCTCTTTCACTCCTTACCCTAATTACACACTCAATCACACCACTCACAATAACCACCATCACCTCTCATGCAACAGGTGGCATCAGAGCCATATGGCTCATCATGTGCCGCCAAAGGGGACTCATCCCCTTTCACTTGCACTCACCCACCCAAGGGGGCTCATCCCCTTTCACTTGCCCACCCAAGGGGGCTCATCCCCTTTCACTTGCACTCACCCACCCAAGGGGGCTCATCCCCTTTCACTTGCACTCACCCACCCAAGGGGGCTCATCCCCTTTCACTTGCACTCACCCACCCAAGGGGGCTCATCCCCTTTCACTTGCACTCACCCACCCAAGGGGGCTCATCCCCTTTCACTTGAACTCACGCACCGAAGAGGACTCAGCCCCTTTCACTTGCACTCACTCACCCAAGGGGACTCAGCCCCTTTCACTTGCACTCACCCACCCAAGGGGACTCAGTCCCTCTCACTTGCATTCACCCACCCAAGGGGACTCAGCCCCCTTCACTTGCATTCACCCACCCAAGGGGACTCAGCCCCCTTCACTTGCATTCACCCACCCAAGGGGACTCAGCCCCTCTCACTTGCACGCATGAGCATCATGCTCTCATGCAACAGGTGGCATCAGTGCCATACGGCTCATCTCACCATGTACCACCAGCCAAGCATGAGCACGGCTACGATCTGAGGGAAGGAACTGAGGGAGGAACTGAGGGAGGAACTGAGGGAGGAACTGAGGGAAGAACTGAGGGAGGAACTGAGGGAGGAAGGAACTGAGGGAGGAACTGAGGGAGGAACTGAGGGAGAAACTGAGGGAGGAATTGAGGGAGGAACTGAGGGAGGAACTGAGGGAGGAACTGAGTGAGGAACTGAGGGAGGAACTGAGGGAGGAACTGAGGGAGGAACTGAGGGAGGAACTGAGGGCGGAACTGAGGGAGGAACTGAGGAGGAAGGAACTGAGGGAGGAACTGAGGGAGGAACCGAGGGAGGAAGGAACTGAGGGAGGAACTGAGGGCGGACCTGAGGGAGGAACTGAGGGAGGACTACTGAGAGAGTAAGGAACTGAGGGAGGAACTGAGGGAGGAACTGAGGGAGGAATTGAGGGAGGAACTGAGGGAGGAACTGAGGGAGGAAGGGACTGAGGGAGGAACTGAGGAAGGAACTGAGGGAGGAAATGAGGGAGGAACTGAGGGAGGAACTGAGGGAGGAACTGAGGGAGGAACTGAGAGAGTAAGGAACTGAGGGAGGAACTGAGGGAGGAACTGAGGGAGGAACTGAGGGAGGAATTGAGGGAGGAACTGAGGGAGGAAGGACCTGAGGGAGGAACTGAGGGAGGAAGGAACTGAGGGACGAACTGAGGGAGGAACTGAGGGAGGAAGGGACTGAGGGAGAAACTGAGGGAGGAACTGAGGGAGGAACTGAGGGGGGAACTGAGGGAGGAACTGAGGGAGGAACTGAGGGAGGAACTGAGGGCGGAACTGAGGGAGGAAGGAACTGAGGGAGGAACTGAGGGAGGAATTGAGGGAGGAAGGAACTGAGGGAGGAACTGAGGGAGGAACTGAGGGAGGGAGGAACTGAGGGAGGAACTGGGGGAGGAACTGAGGGAGGAACTGAGGGAGGAACTGAGGGAGGAACTGAGGGAGGAACTGAGGGAGGAACTGAGGGAGGAACTGAGGGAGGAAGGGACTGAGGGAGGAACTGAGGGAGGAACTGAGGGAGGGAGGAACTGAGGGAGGAACTGGGGGAGGAACTGAGGGAGGAACTGAGGGAGGAACTGAGGGAGGAACTGAGGGAGGAACTGAGGGAGGAACTGAGGGAGGAACTGAGGGAGGAAGGGACTGAGGGAGAAACTGAGGGAGGAACTGAGGGAGGAACTGATGGGGGAAGGAACTGAGGGAGGAACTGAGGGAGGAACTGAGGGAGGAACTGAGGGAGGAACTGAGGGAGGAACTGAGGGAGGAAGGAACTGAGGGAGGAACTGAGGGAGGAACTGAGGGAAGAACTGAGGGAGGAACTGAGGGAGGAAGGGACTGAGGGAGAAACTGAGGAAGGAACTGAGGGAGGAACTGAGGGAGGAACTGAGGGAGGAACTGAGGGAGTAACTGAGAGAGTAAGGAACTGAGGGAGGAACTGAGGGAGGAATTGAGGGAGGAACTGAGGGAGGAACTGAGGGAGGAAGGGACTGAGGGAGAAACTGAGGGACGAACTGAGGAGGAACTGAGGGAGGAAGGAACTGAGGGAGGAACTGAGGGAGGAACTGAGGGAGGAAGGAACTGAGGGAGGAACTGAGGGAGGAACTGAGGGAGGAACTGAGGGAGGGACTGAGGGAGGAACTGAGGGAGGATGGAACTGAGGGAGGAAATGAGGGAGGAACTGAGGGAGAAAGGAACTGAGGGAGGAACTGAGGGAGGAACTGAGGGAGGAAGGAACTGAGGGAGGAACTGAGTGAGGAAGGAACTGAGTGAGGAACTGAGGGAGGAACTGAGGGCGGAACTGAGGGAGGAACTGAGGGCGGAACTGAGGGAGGAACTGAGGGAGGAGCTAAGGGAGGAACTGAGGGAGGAACTGAGGGAGGAACTGAGGGGGGAACTGAGGGAGGAACTGAGGGAGGAACTGAGGGAGGAACTGAGGGAGGAACTGATGAAGGAACTGAGGGAGGAACTGAGGGAGGAACTGAGGGAGAAACTGAGGGAGGAACTGAGGGAGGAACTGAGGGAGGAACTGAGGGAGGAACTGAGGGAGGAACTGAGGGAGGAACTGAGGGCGGAACTGAGCGAGGAACTGAGGGAGGAACTGAGGGAGGAAGGAACTGAGGGAGGAACTGAGGGAGGAAGGAACTGAGGGACGAACTGAGGGAGGAACTGAGGGAGGAAGGGACTGAGGGAGAAACTGAGGGAGGAACTGAGGGAGGAACTGAGGGGGGAACTGAGGGAGGAACTGAGGGAGGAACTGAGGGAGGAACTGAGGGCGGAACTGAGGGAGGAAGGAACTGAGGGAGGAACTGAGGGAGGAACTGAGGGAGGGAGGAACTGAGGGAGGAACTGGGGGAGGAACTGAGGGAGGAACTGAGGGAGGAACTGAGGGAGGAACTGAGGGAGGAACTGAGGGAGGAACTGAGGGAGGAACTGAGGGAGGAACTGAGGGAAGGACTGAGGGAGGAACTGAGGGAGGAACGGAGGGAGGAAGGAACTTTGGGCGGAACTGAGGGAGGAACTGAGGGAAGAACTGAGGGAGGAACTGAGGGAGGAACTGAGGGAGGAAGGAACAGAGGGAGGAACTGAGGGAGGAACTAAGGGAGGAAGGAACTTTGGGCGGAACTGAGGGAGGAACTGAGGGAAGAACTGAGGGAGGAAGGAACTGAGGGAGGAACTGAGGGAGGAACTGAGGGAGGAACTGAGGGCGGAACTGAGGGAGGAAGGAACTGAGGGAGGAACTGAGGGAGGAATTGAGGGAGGAAGGAACTGAGGGAGGAACTGAGGGAGGAACTGAGGGAGGGAGGAACTGAGGGAGGAACTGGGGGAGGAACTGAGGGAGGAACTGAGGGAGGAACTGAGGGAGGAACTGAGGGAGGAACTGAGGGAGGAACTGAGGGAGGAACTGAGGGAGGAAGGGACTGAGGGAGGAACTGAGGGAGGAACTGAGGGAGGGAGGAACTGAGGGAGGAACTGGGGGAGGAACTGAGGGAGGAACTGAGGGAGGAACTGAGGGAGGAACTGAGGGAGGAACTGAGGGAGGAACTGAGGGAGGAAGGGACTGAGGGAGAAACTGAGGGAGGAACTGAGGGAGGAACTGAGGGAGGAACTGAGGGAGGAACTGAGGGAGGAACTGAGGGAGGAACTGAGGGAGGAACTGAGGGAGGAAGGAACTGAGGGAGGAACTGAGGGAGGAACTGAGGGAAGAACTGAGGGAGGAACTGAGGGAGGAAGGGACTGAGGGAGAAACTGAGGAAGGAACTGAGGGAGGAACTGAGGGAGGAACTGAGGGAGGAACTGAGGGAGTAACTGAGTGAGTAAGGAACTGAGGGAGGAACTGAGGGAGGAATTGAGGGAGGAACTGAGGGAGGAATTGAGGGAGGAACTGAGGGAGGAACTGAGGGAGGAAGGGACTGAGGGAGAAACTGAGGGACGAACTGAGGAGGAACTGAGGGAGGAAGGAACTGAGGGAGGAACTGAGGGAGGAAGGAACTGAGGGAGGAACTGAGGGAGGAACTGAGGGAGGAACTGAGGGAGGGAGGAACTGAGGGAGGAACTGAAGGAGGAACTGAGGGAGGAACTGAGGGAGGAAGGAACTGAGGGAGGAACTGAGGGAGGAACTGAGGGAGGAACTGAGGGAGTAACTGAGAGAGTAAGGAACTGAGGGAGGAACTGAGGGAGGAATTGAGGGAGGAACTGAGGGAGGAACTGAGGGAGGAAGGGACTGAGGGAGAAACTGAGGGACGAACTGAGGAGGAACTGAGGGAGGAAGGAACTGAGGGAGGAACTGAGGGAGGAACTGAGGGAGGAAGGAACTGAGGGAGGAACTGAGGGAGGAACTGAGGGAGGAACTGAGGGAGGGACTGAGGGAGGAACTGAGGGAGGATGGAACTGAGGGAGGAAATGAGGGAGGAACTGAGAGAGAAAGGAACTGAGGGAGGAACTGAGGGAGGAACTGAGGGAGGAACTGAGGGAGGAAGGAACTGAGGGAGGAACTGAGTGAGGAAGGAACTGAGTGAGGAACTGAGGGAGGAACTGAGGGCGGAACTGAGGGAGGAACTGAGGGCGGAACTGAGGGAGGAACTGAGGGAGGAGCTAAGGGAGGAACTGAGGGAGGAACTGAGGGAGGAACTGAGGGGGGAACTGAGGGAGGAACTGAGGGAGGAACTGAGGGAGGAACTGAGGGAGGAACTGATGAAGGAACTGAGGGAGGAACTGAGGGAGGAACTGAGGGAGGAACTGAGGGAGGAAGGGACTGAGGGAGAAACTGAGGGACGAACTGAGGAGGAACTGAGGGAGGAAGGAACTGAGGGAGGAACTGAGGGAGGAACTGAGGGAGGAACTGAGGGAGGGAGGAACTGAGGGAGGGAGGAACTGAGGGAGGAACTGAAGGAGGAACTGAGGGAGGAACTGAGGGAGGAAGGAACTGAGGGAGGAACTGAGGGAGGAACTGAGGGAGGAACTGAGGGAGTAACTGAGAGAGTAAGGAACTGAGGGAGGAACTGAGGGAGGAATTGAGGGAGGAACTGAGGGAGGAACTGAGGGAGGAAGGGACTGAGGGAGAAACTGAGGGACGAACTGAGGAGGAACTGAGGGAGGAAGGAACTGAGGGAGGAACTGAGGGAGGAACTGAGGGAGGAAGGAACTGAGGGAGGAACTGAGGGAGGAACTGAGGGAGGAACTGAGGGAGGGACTGAGGGAGGAACTGAGGGAGGATGGAACTGAGGGAGGAAATGAGGGAGGAACTGAGAGAGAAAGGAACTGAGGGAGGAACTGAGGGAGGAACTGAGGGAGGAACTGAGGGAGGAAGGAACTGAGGGAGGAACTGAGTGAGGAAGGAACTGAGTGAGGAACTGAGGGAGGAACTGAGGGCGGAACTGAGGGAGGAACTGAGGGCGGAACTGAGGGAGGAACTGAGGGAGGAGCTAAGGGAGGAACTGAGGGAGGAACTGAGGGAGGAACTGAGGGGGGAACTGAGGGAGGAACTGAGGGAGGAACTGAGGGAGGAACTGAGGGAGGAACTGATGAAGGAACTGAGGGAGGAACTGAGGGAGGAACTGAGGGAGAAACTGAGGGAGGAACTGAGGGAGGAACTGAGGGAGGAACTGAGGGAGGAACTGAGGGAGGAACTGAGGGAGGAAGGAACTGAGGGAGGAACTGAGGGAGGAAGGAACTGAGGGACGAACTGAGGGAGGAACTGAGGGAGGAAGGGACTGAGGGAGAAACTGAGGGAGGAACTGAGGGAGGAACTGAGGGGGGAACTGAGGGAGGAACTGAGGGAGGAACTGAGGGAGGAACTGAGGGCGGAACTGAGGGAGGAAGGAACTGAGGGAGGAACTGAGGGAGGAACTGAGGGAGGGAGGAACTGAGGGAGGAACTGGGGGAGGAACTGAGGGAGGAACTGAGGGAGGAACTGAGGGAGGAACTGAGGGAGGAACTGAGGGAGGAACTGAGGGAAGGACTGAGGGAGGAACTGAGGGAGGGACGGAGGGAGGAAGGAACTTTGGGCGGAACTGAGGGAGGAACTGAGGGAAGAACTGAGGGAGGAACTGAGGGAGGAACTGAGGGAGGAAGGAACTGAGGGAGGAACTGAGGGAGGAACTAAGGGAGGAAGGAACTTTGGGCGGAACTGAGGGAGGAACTGAGGGAAGAACTGAGGGAGGAAGGAACTGAGGGAGGAACTGAGGGAGGAACTGAGGGAGGAACTGAGGGAGGGAGGAACTGAGGGAGGGAGGAACTGAGGGAGGAACTGAAGGAGGAACTGAGGGAGGAACTGAGGGAGGAAGGAACTGAGGGAGGAACTGAGGGAGGAACTGAGGGCGGAACTGAGGGAGGAACTGAGGGAGGAACTGAGGGAGGAACTGAGGGAGGAACTGAGAGAGTAAGGAACTGAGGGAGGAACTGAGGGACGAACTGAGGGAGGAAGGAACTGAGGGAGGAACTGAGGGAGGAACTGAGGGAGGAACTGAGGGAGGAACTGAGGGAGGGACTGAGGGAGGAAGGAACTGAGGGAGGAACTGAGGGAGGAACTGAGGGAGGGACTGAGGGAGGAAGGAACTGAGGGAGGAACTGAGGGAGGAACTGAGGGAGTAAGGAATTGAGGGAGGAACTGAGGGCGGAACTGAGGGAGGAACTGAGGGAGGAACTGAGGGAGGAACTGAGGGAGGAAGGAACTGAGGGAGGAACTGAGGGAGGAACTGAGGGAGGAACTGAGGGAAGGACTGAGGGAGGAACTGAGGGAGGAACTGAGGGCGGAAGGAACTTTGGGCGGAACTGAGGGAGGAACTGAGGGAAGAACTGAGGGAGGAACTGAGGGAGGAACTGAGGGAGGAAGGAACTGAGGGAGGAACTGAGGGAGGAACTGAGGGAGGAACTGAGGGAAGGACTGAGGGAGGAACTGAGGGAGGAACTGAGGGCGGAAGGAACTTTGGGCGGAACTGAGGGAGGAACTGAGGGAAGAACTGAGGGAGGAACTGAGGGAGGAACTGAGGGAGGAAGGAACTGAGGGAGGAACTGAGGGAGGAACTGAGGGAGGAAGGAACTGAGGGAGGAACTGAGGGAGGAACTGAGGGAGGAACTGAGGGAGGAAGGAACTGAGGGAGGAACTGAGGGAGGAGCTGAGGGAGGAACTGAGGGAGGGAGGAATTGAGGGAGGAACTGAGGGAGGAACTGAGGGAGATGCTCTCATGCAATGCAACAGGTGGCATCAGTGCCATACGGCTCATCTCATCATGTGCCACCAACCAAGCATGAGATGCTCTCATGCAATGCAACAGGTGGCATCAGTGCCATACGGCTCATCTCATCATGTGCCACCAACCAAGCATGAGATGCTCTCATGCAATACAACAGGTGGCATCAGTGCCATACGGCTCATCTCATCATGTGCCACCAACCAAGCATGAGATGCTCTCATGCAATGCAGCAGGTGGCATCAGTGCCATACGGCTCATCTCATCATGTGCCACCAACCAAGCATGAGATGCTCTCATGCAATGCAGCAGGTGGCATCAGTGCCATACGGCTCATCTCATCATGTGCCACCAACCAAGCATGAGATGCTCTCATGCAATGCAGCAGGTGGCATCAGTGCCATACGGCTCATCTCATCATGTGCCACCAACCAAGCATGAGATGCTCTCATGCAATGCAGCAGGTGGCATCAGTGCCATACGGCTCATCTCATCATGTGCCACCAACCAAGCATGAGATGCTCTCATGCAATGCAGCAGGTGGCATCAGTGCCATACGGCTCATCTCATCATGTGCCACCAACCAAGCATGAGATGCTCTCATGCAATGCAGCAGGTGGCATCAGTGCCATACGGCTCATCTCATCATGTGCCACCAACCAAGCATGAGATGCTCTCATGCAATGCAGCAGGTGGCATCAGTGCCATACGGCTCATCTCATCATGTGCCACCAACCAAGCATGAGATGCTCTCATGCAATGCAGCAGGTGGCATCAGTGCCATACGGCTCATCTCATCATGTGCCACCAACCAAGCATGAGATGCTCTCATGCAATGCAGCAGGTGGCATCAGTGCCATACGGCTCATCTCATCATGTGCCACCAACCAAGCATGAGATGCTCTCATGCAATGCAGCAGGTGGCATCAGTGCCATACGGCTCATCTCATCATGTGCCACCAACCAAGCATGAGATGCTCTCATGCAATGCAGCAGGTGGCATCAGTGCCATACGGCTCATCTCATCATGTGCCACCAACCAAGCATGAGATGCTCTCATGCAATGCAACAGGTGGCATCAGTGCCATACGGCTCATCTCATCATGTGCCACCAACCAAGCATGACCACCACGCATACATGTTCTTCCACCAACCCCACTGCCTCTCACCACCATCACCATCCAACCCACCCAGCCCCTCCCATACTCACCTGGCAGCAGTAGGAGCAGCAGACAGCCCACTTCCTTTCGAGAACAGCACCCCCAGGGGCTCTGACTTGTGGGTCAAGGTGTGGCAGTGAAAAATCACTTCCAGCCCAAGACTCAAATCCCACCCCCGACGTAGCTAGAGCTGACGCGAACCAGAGTCGCCGGCCGGTCGACTCTGACGGTGTCCATTAAGCCTTAAACGCCGGATCGGTTACTTGAGCACCGAGTGCCGTGCCGCGAAGATTCCACCAACCACACACCCAAACCACAAGCCACAACTCCAGAGGACGCTGCCCCTAAGGCAGTGAACTCCCCACTTGCTCCCATGCTTCCCCCACACTTCACCCCCATGCCTACGTACCCGTACCAACCACAGCCGTGCAGTGCAGAGCGCCATGATGTCTGGGGTTGATGGGTAGTGGGAAGGGGGCGGTTAAAAGGGGGGCGGGACTCCACTCCACTGTGCTCCAGGAAGGGTGCTGCTGGGAGGGAAGGGAAAAGGGAGACAGGAGGAGGTGAGTAGGAGGCTGTTCTTCACTCTCCTGACCTTGCTCCAGTGCTTCCACCTCAGGCTGCCGGGAAGTGAGGAGGGGGGATTAAAGGGGGGGCCGGTCTCCACTGTGGTCCAGGAAGTGTGCTGCTGGAAGGGAAGGGAAGAGGGAGAGAAAAGGAGGGGATGAAAACGTACCTTACTTTTTACCATACCATACCTTACCTGTACCGTACCTCACCTTACCACACCTCGCTCACGACTACTCCTATCCTGGGTTGCCCCTCTAACCCTCCACCCCCCACCGCTGCTTCTGCAGCTGCAACTGCTGCTGCCGGTCTGCTTCACAGCTACATCTGCTGCACTCTTCGCTTGATGCTGAGTGACCTGGTAGCGGGGAGAGTGAGAGGGGAGGGGGGCACAGGAGAGGAGGGGCAGGAGGAGAAGTGAGTTTCAAGACAGACACGGAAGTGAAACTGAATAGCACATGCAAAATGTTAAGACAGATGCAGCAGCAATGAACTTGAGGGGGAAAGAGATGAGGCCAGGGAGAAAGCTAGCGTACCTTGAGTGGCCAAGCCCATCCCCATACTCTCCCTCATGGCAGCTGCTGTCGCCCTCCCAGCCCCCACCCTCTGTGACCGCTGGGACCGCTGCTGCTGCAAATGGTGCTGCCAGTCTGCTTTTCAGCTACCTCTGCTGTATCCTTCCCTTGACACTGGTGCTGGGGAGAGAGAGGAGAGGGGGGGCACAGACGAGGGGGGGCAGAAGAAAGTGGTGAGTTGTCAGAAAGGCACTGAAGGCGAAACTGAATAAGACAGAGACGAGCATTCAAAACGTGAAGAGAGAGCAACAGGAACGACGAACTTGAGAGGGGGAGGGACGAGGCCAGGGAGGAAGCTAACGTACCTTGAGAGGCCAAGCCCATCCCCATACTCTCCCTCGTGGCAGCTGCTGTACTGTCGCCCTCCCAGCCTCCACCACTGCTTCTGCTGCTGCAACTGCTGCAGCCGGCCTGCTTCTCAGCTACCTCTGCACGCATCTCTTGATGATAGTTCACCTGGTGGCTGGTAGAGAGGAGGGAGGAGAGAACAGGAGAGGAGGGACAGGAGGGGAGGAGTGGTGAGCTGGCAGAAAGATACAGAGGAAGAAATAACTGAACCTGACAGATACAAGCATGCAAAACGTGCAGAGAGAGCAACATCACCAATGAACTTGGGTGGGGAAAGTTGAGGCCAGGGAGGAAACTAACGCACCTTGAGAGACCAAGCCCAACCCATACTCTCCCTCGTGGCAGCTGCAGTGCTGTCGCCCTCCCAGCCTCCCCGTGTGCGTCCCAGCACGGCCACCGGGGAGGGACGCGAGGTAGCGTCGGTGTTGACCCCCACGCCCCTCCCCTCCACCTGCAAAGGCACAAGCAGAGCTGGTGAGTGGAGAGTGAGGGGATGAACGGTGGTGTTGCAGCAGAGACAGCACATTCCACAAGATAAGTGAGGGGAGGGGCCACTGGTGGAGGCGCCGCAACAAGCCGTAGACCCCCAGGGGCACCTGAGAGGCTGAACCTGGGGGGCTGTAAGAACCTAGAAAAGGGGAACCTGAGGGCAAACCTGGACTGTGGGGGAGGGGTCTAAAGCTTGAGAGCGGGCCCAACCAGTGGCGAGATTTCAGAGAACAAACTGAAGCACGTGCAGAACAAGGACACAAAACGAAGCAATCAGCAGCAAAAGGCAAGGCCAGGGAGGAGAGAGCACTTAGCTGGAATAATGCAGAGCTGATGCCTTCCTCCTCCCAGCCTCCCCGTGCGCGTCCCTGCACGGCCACCGGAGAGGAGCGTGGAGTAGCGTCGGTGTTGACCCCCGCGCCCCTCCCCTCCACCTGCCAGGCACACACACGGCAGAGGTCAGGTTGCTTGAAATGGACAGTAGCACAAGCCACACACTGGAAACTGCTACGTCTGGAAGAATGAGGGAGGCGCCACTTGAGGAGGCACGACCACACGCCACAGACCCCAAGGGAACCTGCAGGGGCTCTACAAATAATACCTGAGGGGTACCTGCACCTGGAGGGAAATACCTGAAAGAAGGGGGTCTGTGGCATTTAATCACACCCAACCAGTGGCGAATTTCGGAGACTAACACATGAAGCTGAATGATGAGCTTTTGAAAACAAAAGGTATCGGCCAAGGAGGAGGAAACACTTAGCTGGAAAGCTGAAGCCCCGTTACCGCCTTTTCTGGATGCAGCTAAAAACTTCTGGATGCAGCCACAGCCACAGCAGCAATTCCGTCCGCGAATGCAGCAATTCCGTCCGCGAATGCAACAATTTCGTCCGCGAATGCAGCAATTCCGTCCGCGAATGCAACAATTTCGTCCGAGGATGCAGCAATTTCGTCAGCGACTGCAGCAAGGCCGTCCAGGCGCAAGCGGAGTTGGTGCTGCCAGGCGTGCACACGCAACGTGGCATTGTAGAGGTAGCCTGCACCGCAAGGGGAGTCACAGAAAGACGTATATGTGAGTGAAGTTCCGACGCTGAAATAAAAGCTGACAGTTCATGTGAGAGAATAATTGTACGGATGCGTGTGAAAAACTCACCATGCGTGTTAGTATATTCCATCACCCATGGCCGCCTTTCCATGCTCGTTTGTTTTCGGCCTGCCTTCGATGTTGAACGATGCTCCGTGATACCGCAACTTACACGAAATCGTACCGCGCTTCTCATTTCCGCCTTACGCACAACAGCTCAACCCTTCGGAAGCTCGGAAAGCTCAATTTTGAAGCTCGGAGTCGTCGCTACAAATTACCATGCTCTGCATCAGCTTAATTCCATTCTCCGGCTGCCGAACGAGACACTCCTTCGCTTCCTAAATTAACTGCGGGAACACTCGCGTCCTGAATCAAGCTGGGACAGAAATCAGGAGAGGCCATCGGTTCTGACGGAACTAGTAGCTATTTGCATTTGGAGCTGAAAAGGCTGAAAATGTCGAGTTGCGAGGCGACAAGGCTGGTGAATTCTGCTGAGATGAGGCAAATGAGGTTGGAATTCGGAAACGAGGTGGCCCTCGAAAATGCGTGAGAACGAGTTGGGAAAGGCCTCGCATGGTACTGGAGAGACTCCACCAAGGCTTACCTAGGTTCGCCCAACCGCTCCAGCTTCCCAACCAAATGGATGGCTAACCGCGAGCGGCGAAAGGTTTGGAAACTCTTCCGAACCAACCTAACATTCAGATTATTACCCTGCTTGTTCGATTTCACTCGCGGGAAAAAAAGGTTCGCACCCTCGCGTGGCAAAACAACTGGTTGGCGTAGATTCGCAGACAGAAACGAACCTCCTAGCCCAGGCAAGAGCGGTTTGGTGTAGCATCTATTGCAGAGGCTTGGGGGAATGTTAGACGTTGTGGGACTGTGAGGATGCTGAGGGGTCTGGCGGGATGAGCTGATTTGGTTAGAAAATCTGACAAGCGGCGCTTTTGCGGGGCGGGGGGAGGTTTTGACGAAGAGCTTGAGAAGAACCTACTGTAACATATGATCCAATGGCCCTCGGTGCATCGCAATTTTGTAACGAAATACGCGAGAATCCCTTCGCCTCTGTTACTGGCAGTGGTTGTAGAAGGTCGCAGATCTTTGTTGTCCCCACTTGTCAGAAGGGCTGGCCAATGACATTGGGCTGCCATTCACACAAGATTGAGGTCAACCTGTTATACTTATTGTCTCTGCAACCCGGTAAAACCAATCACCCCTCTTCCAACAATTTCTGCACCAACAAATAGTCGTCCACGTGGCTTTGTGTTGCAAACTACAAGGAACTCGAGGAAGCGAGCTTCGCGGGCTTGGTCAGGCCCGAACGTAAAGTGCCACAAACGAACAGCTTCGGGTTCTGCTAAAGTCTCTGAATCTTTAGTATAAACAAAAGCAGTTTGTTTCTGGGTTTGAGTGCTGGTTTTTCTGCGTATCTTAAATTGCACATGCCTAAAAAACTTTCACAGCAGATTAGTATCGGGTACTCGTCACTGCTTTTGGCGGGAATGGGTAGCTTTCAGACTGCCAAGCCAGTACGTGCCATTTCCGTGGTGCTTTTCATGGGACTAGTGGGTAGGTGCTCTGTGCACTACTGGAGTTGGCCAGCAGCATTGTCACGCGATTCCTGAAGTCAAGGGCTCAATGGACAGGAACTTGTGCTAAGTAGGAATATCGTTTTCTAGCTAGATCATACAGTTTACGAAAGATCGGAATTTGAACGTCAAGATGTTGTCGGGGTTCTCTAAGATCCTAGCGAGCACCGCCGCTTCGATAGAGAAAACCGTCCAGGTGTGTTGGGCCTTCCGTCCCCTGCGGTATAACCTTCTCTGCTTCATATTTCGGGTCTGGCCATATTTCTGACGTCAGCATCGATGCAATTAGGGTTAGCTGCTGCGGTATCAATGTCTGAGTGTCCACCTGCGTTTCGCTGTTGCCTGTGCGTGCCAGAGCACGGTTCAGGAGGTCACAGGGCCCAAGGCGTTGGCCGACTATGACCTCGGCGAGCAGGTGCGTTCTCCGCCCTTGATCCGTCTTGAGCCTTCATTCAATTCCAGCCGTTCCTCACCTGTAATCGAAGAAACACCGCATGTTGGATGAAAAACACCGTTTCTTTTTAGTGCCTAGAATAAGCGATGCTCAACTGGAAGTACACGAGTTGGCGTGACGAATCCGCTTGGCAATGCCGTGCATGTTTCCGCCGTGGTGAATGCGCAGATCGGGTCGGGCGGGCCGGGCATGCTGTGGAAGCTGTACCGCGCGACGCCCAAGAGCAAGGCGCAGCAGACGGTGACGTCGGAGGTGTGCGTGTGGTTCCTCGACAAGAAGGAGCTCTCGGAGGAGCGCTCGCACCGCGGCATGAGGTCCGTCGGAGGGTGGGGAGGGGGAACAGGAGCAGCAGAGCAGGGTAGATTCGTCAGCGATCGTAAAAGCACGTTCTGCTTTCCGTTGCTCGGTCCTGTGTCGGACACGCATTCCCAGCAACCCCTTTCCCGTATCTGCGCTCCTTGGCCCTTTCTCCCCGCGCCTCGCGCACTTCGCGCTGTTCCCCCGCTCCCGCGCGCAGCAAGGCGGCGGAGGACCGACTGCTGGACATATTCCGCGCGGACGCGAAGGTGCTGCAGAAGCTGCGGCACCCGGGCATCGTGCGCGTGGTGGAGGCGCTGGACGAGAGCAAGTGGGCCATGGCGATGGTCACGGAGCCCGTCTTCTCCTCCCTCGCCAACGCCCTCGGCAACCTCGAGAACCTCTCCACCATCCCGAATGAGCTGGAGAAGCTGGAGCTGGGGCAGCTGGAGGTGAAGCACGGGCTGATGCAGCTGGCGGAGACGCTGAGCTTCATCCACCGCAACGCCAACATCATCCACCGCGGCATCAACCCCGAGGTACCACCCCAGCCATCGTGTGCAACTTGTGGGTGCCAAGCCATCCTGTGCGTCTCCTGGGGCTCAACGTTGCACGTGCGTCTGCACAGTCGATCTTAGAAACGTCAGGAAGAGCATCTCAGACTTGATGCTTCGCCTCGTTATTCTCATGAGACCCACGGTGAATCTCCCTGCGCATGAGACCCTGGTGTTCTTGTTGTGGTCCTAATGCTGCATGCGGCGCACTCCTACCCTACCCTCCCTCTCCCCCCCTCCCTGCACGCACTGTGGTGCGCAGACAGTGTTCATCACGAAGAATGGCGGGTGGAAGCTGGCTGGGTTTGGCTTCTCCGTGCCCGCTGACCAACAGCCCGACCCCGATGAACCCGCCTTCCTCTACCCTGTCAGTGCTCGCATGCACCATGCACGCACCCGCCGTGCTTGCACTGCACACATCATCCATGCACACATCATGCTGCACACGTCATGCTCGCACCCATCATCCTTACCTGTCATCATCCTCCCACCACATCCCTCCCTCCGTGATGTCCCACCCATCAATCCCCTTCTCCATGATCCCCTTCCCATTCACCTCCCCTTCCCCCACCATCGACCAGGACTTTGACGTGGACGACCAGGTGCTGCCCTTGCAGCCCCTGCTGGACTACGTGGCACCGGAGCTCACACGGCGCCCCACCATCAACCGCTCCTCCGCTGCCGCCTCCCGGGACGCGCTGGCCAGTGTCGACGTCTTCTCCCTCGCGCTGCTCGCCTTCCAGCTCATTGCGCGGCGCCGCCTCGTGCACGCCAACAACAACCTGCGCACCGTGAGTGCTGCACTGCAGCAGCCGTGGGTACAGCAGTCAGCCAGTCGTATGTGTCCTTCTTAGATTAACGTGCTGTTGGGATGAGAGCTTAAACAATGGTGGCTGTCTCGTTGCCCATCTCGTCTCCTTCCCTGCACTCCCACTCACCCTTGTATGTCCGACCCATATGCACGACAGTACAACAACAGGGTGGCGGGGCTGAGGACCGAGTCACTGGCGGGCATACCCATGGAGCTCGAGACGGACCTGCGCCGCATGCTCGCCCCTGAACCCGCCGCCCGCCCCACCGCCTCTGAGTTCGCCGGTCAGTCAGCCTTCCCCCATTTCCTCACCCTTCCCCGAAGCCATGGCTGTTACCTGCTCCTGTCATTCTCTTCCTCCTCAACGGGCATTGATTCTTCCATTGCCCTGGGCGGCGGATGCCTGTTTTCCTCCCCTCCATCCAACCCACCACTGCCCCCTCTCCTCCCATGCATGCACCCTGCTCTGCAGCGTCACCTTTCTTCACGGAGGACATGCGCCTGCGAGCCCTCAGATTCCTCGACCAAATGATTGTACGATTCGCCCCTCTTGTCTCTTGTTACCCTTCCTTGGTTGCTGCCCATTTGTTTTTTCCCTGAGCTCTATGTGTCCTCTCTCATACTTACCAGAGCCCTCCTCTCTCGTTACCCTCCTCTCCCCCTACCCTCGTATTCCAACCCACTACCCACCCTACCACCATCCCCTCGGTCCTCACCCACCTCCCATCGTGCACCCTACCCTCATGCCCACAGGGTCGGGACAACAACGCGAGGGTGGAGTTCCTGAAGTCGCTGCACAGCATATGGGCGGGGTTTGACAGCCGAGTGCTGCGCTTCAAGGTGCTGCCGGCCCTGCTAGAGGAGCTGAAGAACCCCGCCACGCAGCTGCTGGCGCTGCCGTGGGTGCTGGAGGTGGCGGAGGCACAGGACGCACAGGACTTTGAGCTGCGCACTCAGACGCTGCTGCTGCCCGCCATGGAGCATGCGGGTGGCGACGTGCTGCTGCTCTTCATCAAGCACCTCCCTGCTATCGTCTCCAAGGTGGGCTACAGTTCCCCCAAGGTGGTGGCCCCTCCAGGGCTCTCACCGTCACTGATACTGCTCATCCCACTCACTCACCATTCTCTAGTTTATTATTTTCTCTGCTCGTTCTGATTTTCCCCTGTGTCTCCCCCACCTGGGGTGGATGTTTCTGTGTGCGCTTTGCGTGTGTCTGTATTCAACACAGGTGTCACCAGCCATCCTGATGTCACATGTGCTGCCCATGATCGTGCGCGCCTACGAGGACGCCGACCCGCGGCTGCAGGAGGAGACGCTGCGGCGCTCAGCAGTGCTGGTGTCGTCGCTGGACTTTGAGATCGTGCGCACCGTCATCATGCCGCGCGTGCACATGCTCGCCCTCCGCACCTCCGTCGCCGCTGTACGTCGCCACTAACCCTGCCTTCTCTTCCGTCCATCTCTCTGCCCCCACCACCTCTCTGCCGCTCGTCCCTTCATCTCTCACAATTTGTTTTCCTTCCCTCCTATCCATCTAACTGTGCACTCCCCCTTCTCCTCGTCTCTCCCCCTCTCGCCTCTGTGACCGCGCCACGCCACCAGGTGAGGGTGCAGGCGCTCATATGTCTGGGCGACCTGATACCCAACCTGGACAAGGCGGCCGTGATGGACATTCTGCAGACGTGCGTGCGCTGCGCTGCTGTCGACCGCTCCCCGCCCACGCTCATGTGCATCGTCGGCATTGCTGACATCATCCAGAGGCAGGTGCGCGCTGAGGCAGGTGCGTTCTCAGCCAGGTGCGTTCTCAGCCAGGTGCGTTCTCAGCCAGGTGCGTTCTCAGCCAGGTGCGTTCTCAGCCAGGTGGGTGCTGATGCAGATGCGTGCTGAGGCAGGTCCTTGTTGTGGCTGACTGTCCTATTCCTGTTTTGTGTGCTTGCTCCACTGTCTCTGTTGTTCCATATGTCACGATTTTCCCTTGCAACCCACTATGTGACGCACTTCTAACAGCATTCCCTATTCCTCATCTCGCATGATGTGCTGTGGTGTGTTATGGTGTGGTGCGACATGGTGTGTGGCATGGCATGGGTGTGTGGCATGGAATGGCATGGCATGGCAGTACGGAATAGAGTTTGCAGCAGAGCACATACTGCCGCTGCTGTGTCCCATGCTCGTGGTGCAGCAGCTCACAGGCCCGCAGTTCGCCCGCTTCCTCAAACTCATCATGGACGTCCTCACGTGCGCCGCCCCCCACCCGTCTCCCACTCTCTCTCTCTCTCGCACAGACACACTCACTCCCACCCTCCCCGCTCTTTCTCACACTCTCTTTGCATTCACATTATGCTGCACATGCACTTCCCTGCTACTTGGTTTACTTTCTTACAACTTACTAGGTTCCCGTTCACTTAGTGACCTGTTGCCTATCGACTTCCGTAATTATTTCGATCAAGTATCCCGTGCGCAACATGACATCTGTGCCATGCCCCATATCCCGTACCCCTGCCCCTGCTGCCGGTGTGTGGCAGCAAGATACAGGACAAGAGGGGCGTGTCGTTGAGTGAGGCGGACTCCATATCGCTCGACCTCGCATCCATGGGCATCTCCACTCCCTCCGATGCCACTGTTGCCTTTGACGACAGGTCAGCCCCCTGCCTCCCTGTAAACGTCCCCCAAAGCTGGCCTCTCATCTCCTTGCAGCCACTTTCCTCGTTTAGCCCCCTTTCTCTCTAACCCATCCCATCTCCCCCCCGTTCTCCACTCCCTCATCTGATCCTCCCCCCACTCCCTCCCCCGCCACCCCGTTCCCCCCTCACCCCCTCCACCAGCGCCAAGCCGCCGGCATGGGACGCACAACCAGACTGGGCCAAGACACCCGCCTCCTCCGCTGGCCCCTCTGCCGCCCCCTCCTTCTCAGACCCCTTCGCCTCCGCGCCCCCCATCTCGTCCACCCCCGCTTCCTCCGCCTCGTCTGCCTTTGGCACGTCAGACCCCTTCGCGTCCTCCACTCTCTCCGCTGCACCATCCCCCAGCCTTGCTTCCCTCTCTGCCAATCCCACAGCCGGCATGGGGGGCATTGGCGGGGGTGGGTTGGGGGGAATAGGAGGAGGCGGAATTGGTGGCAGCAGCAGCATAGGCGGTGGGGGTATGGGGGGTCTTGGTAGCGGCTTGGGAGGGCGGTTAGTGGGGGCGCCTATGGGAGGATCGCTAGGAGGGGGGTTGGGAGGAGGCACAGGGTTTGGTGGGGGACTGGGAGGAGGCATGGGTGGGGGGTTGGGAGGGAGCGCAGCATCAGGAGCAGGAGGGGGTGCAAGTGACCCCAACGACCCCTTTGCAGACTGGCCTCCAAGAAAACCGCAGGCAGCAGCAGCGCCAGCGGCACCAACAGCTGCAATGAGTGCCGCCCCGCGTCCCCTGGGCGGAGTGTCCAAGGCCAGTGGGCCACTTGACATGGACGACTGGGGCGGCAGCTCCTTCCAGTCTGCCGCCCCGCCTGCCACTGCTGCCGGCACAGGGATGGGAGGCACAGGCATGGGAATGGGCATGGGCATGGGCATGGGAGGAGGCATGGGGGGTGGGGCCATGGGAGCAGGCATGGGTATGGGAATGGCTCGGCCAATGGGTGGCGTTGGCATGGCTCCAGGGTTTGGGGCTTTCCCTGCTGCTCCCATGGCTCCCATGGGTGGCATGGCTGCTGCTCCTCCTGCTGGCGGCGCTGTGTACGGTGCGATGCGGTTTGCCCCTCCGCCATCGCAGGGCTTCCCTGCCCCCCCTGCATCTGCTGCCATGGGCTCTGGCTTCACGCCTCCTCAGCGCCCTGCTGCTCCCCCGCAATCTGGAGGTGCTCTGATGGACCTCCTGTGATGTGCCATCGCCACTCAAGAGATGCACTGCCTGCTCTGCCGTGGAATCGAGAACGAGGAAGGTGGCTTACAGGAAAATTACATCTGCCTATTACAAAGTAACCTGTGGTTGGTTTCGTTCCTACGGTAATATGTAGAAATAACGTGGTCTGGTTGCTCTAATATGAGTTTTTGGTTGTCCACCACACGAGTGCCATATAGGATGACAATTGCATGCACTTATGTAGGCAAACTATCACCCTGCCACGACCAAGTGCCATGCTGGAAGGTCCAACAAGAACGCAACCTCCTTGTGCTCGGGGTGCTTGGTGGTGGTAGCGCTGAGATGGCTTCCTTGTAGTGCCCCCATCCCAACAGCGCTCACAACCACCTGTAGTGCTGCCATTTAGCATCAATGCACTCTCAACCATGCATTGTCTTTGAGAAGAGGACTTTGTGCAAGCATACCATGAGATTTTACTTTAACTTGGAGGAATTGCCTTCCAATTTTTTGTCGTAAGATGGATTCTGTAAGACCAACTCTGGCCTAGAGCTGAATAGGTGAGCTTGCACAGAAGATAACATACCAACTTTCAACTATCAACTGCAGATATGACACGGTGCACTTTTTTTCACGGAACTACACTATGCGGATGGACAAAACAAGCGGCTTCTCATCATCATACTCCATAACAAAACTATGTCAAGTTGCCCACAGTGGTGCTTGTGCACATGCATGCGCATGATGCATGCATGCATCTACTCATCCGTGACACAGCCTTCAGATGCTGACTTGACCGTCTTGATGTACTGCCGTGGCCAGGGGGGGCGGGGTGGCAGCACAAGGCACAAAGCACGGTGCGTGAGTAAAGGAAGGATATGAGCTGGCACCGCACACAAAAGGGGCGATGCACAAGAATGTGAGGATGAGTGCAGATGGCACATGATGCGGCAGGACTCATGCACTGATTTGCGCACGAAGCACTGACTAATAGAGACTTTTGCACAGGCGCACACACCTTGTACAGCGTGCCGCGGGTGGCCTTGAGAGGCGGCGCCACCCAGTTGGCACGGCGGCGCTGCAGCTCCTCGTCGCTGACATCCATGTCCATGGTCCTCTTCTCCACGTCGATGGTGATCACATCCCCGTTCTGCACCAGCCCGATGGGGCCGCCCACCTGCGCGCAGAGGAAAGGGGAGGGATAGCGGTTGGATATTGAGAGTCCCCAATGACCAACCTCACTGACCGCCATGTCCATGGCCCTATTCTCCACGTCGATGGTGATCACGTCCCTGTTCTGCACCAGCCCGATGGGGCCGCCCACCTGTTGCATGGGAGAGGGGAGGGACAGATTGAGTGTGGGGAATGAGGGCGTCGGCAGGAGTGCAGGGTGGGAGGTATGGGGGAGAAGGTGACGAGAGACGAGGAAGGGTGGTATGCAAGTGATGTGGCAGGACACAGTCAGGTGCACGCTGGGGAGGCAGCACGTGTACCTGTGCCCTCGGGGCAGATGTGGTGCCACGTGTACCTGTGCCTCAGAGCGAATGGGGAGGTGCCATGTGTACCTGTGCCTCAGAGCGAATGGGGAGGTGCCATGTGTACCTGTGCCTCGGGGCAGACGTGGCCGACCACGAAGCCGTGAGAGCCACCGGAGAAGCGCCCGTCCGTCAGCAGCGCCACCTCCTGGTGTGTGTGGGGGGGAGATAAGCGGTGGAGAGCAGTGTGAGGAGAGAAGGACAGGCAGAGCAGGTCAGAGAGCCATGAGGGCAGAGTAGGAACGGGTGCGAGTGCAATGGGTGGGCACAAAAGGAAATGTGGTTTTTGTGTTTTGAGGCGTTCCTACAGGTATCCATGCATGCAGACTCACACGCCCAGAGACATGCATGTGCCATGCTCGTCCCATCCCCCCCACCTCCACCCCCCACAATACCTTGCCGAGCCCCGCGCCCATGATGGCGGAGGTGGGCGTGAGCATCTCCGGCATGCCCGGCCCTCCCTTGGGGCCCTCTCCCCGTATCACCACCACCGCTCCCTGTGTGGGGGGCAAGGGAGAGACGGGAGGGGAGGAGTGTGAGGGAGAGAGGGAAGGAAGGGGAGGGGAGAGGGAGGAGGAGAGAAAAGGTGGAGAGCAGAGGGTGGGGAAGGTTGGGGGGAGGACCTCACGTGGGCATGGCAGGTTGCATGAATGGTGAGGCAATGGGGTGGGAGGAGGGCGGAGGCAGCAAGAAGCAGATAACACCAGTTGGATTGCCCTGGGGCAAGTGCGTTTGGTTGAGCTGGGATGGGTTGGCCTAATAAGTGGAATGGCGGGGAGGGATGGGGTGCGGTACGGGGCGGTGGGGCGGCACCTTGAAGCTGTTGGGGTCGGCGGAGAGCGCCTCCAGCATGGCCTCCTCGCCCTCAAACACCAACGCCGGGCCTGGTGGTGGGGACGAGGAAAGGGGGGCGGCGGAAGGGGGGGGGGGTTGGGATGGCGACATGCTTCTTGCGCGCAGCGCGACAGAGTAGTGTGGATGGCAGCCAGTGTGCCGTGCAAGTGGCAGCGAGACAGGGAAGGTAAAGCTCCTTGACCTTCACCCCCCTTCTCCCCCATCACCCCACCTTTGAAGTACAGCCCCTCCTTGCCCGTGATCTTTGCCACCGACCCCTCCGGTGCCAGATTGCCGTACAGAATCTGCGCGGGGGGGAAGGAGGGGAGGAGGGGACGGGGGACAGGGAGGAGGCGAGGGAGATAGGATAAGTGCGCGAGCAGACCGGGTGACGAGCTGAGATGGGGTGAAGGGGCATGGCATGGGATAGCATGGTAATGATTGAAAGGGCGAGAGTGCCAGCTGTCAATGCCGCCAGCACTCAATGCAGTCAGCCATGACAGCTGGCTCACCTGCAAGTGGCCGGTCTGCTTGATGGGCTCCTCCAATGGGCGAATGACGTCCTGCCACGTGGCACACAGGGGAAGAGGAAGGGCGCATTCTCTTTGATCACCAGCCGATGCGGCACCAAATGAGGGCGACGAAGAAAGAGGGCAGGGGAATCAGAAACAAGAAACTTGGAAAGGGAGCAATGGGGAAGGGGGCAAGGAGGGATGGGGAGGGAGCGGGAGGGAGAGCAGGGGAGATGCGCAATAGGTACCTGACCGGGGGAGAGTGGCGGCACGGAGGCCAGGTTCTCCGCCAGGGTCTTGCCCGTCACTGCAGCGAGGAGACATGTGGGCCACGGGTGGTGTGCGCAAGAGAGAGAGGGAGAGAGGAGTGGTGCGAGAGGATAGGTTAGAGGTTAAAACCCAGTGTCCCCGTCAACTCACAAGTCATACCATCACCATGCGAAATGCACAATGCACCATGCCCCATGCACCACGCCCCATCCACCACGCTCCACGCACCTCACCCCATGCACCACCACACCCCATGCACCATGCAGCAGCAAGCACTGACCGGTGAGGCAGTCCCCGTGCAGCAGCCCCTTCTCCAGCAGGTACTTGAGCACTGCTGGCGTGCCGCCGATCTGACCACACAGTGGGGGGCAGGGCAGGCACAGCAGCACGAGCAGGCAGGGGGGCAGGCGGGCATGAGTCCAGCATGGGCAGAGGTGGGCTCTGGTGGATGCATGACGATGCATGGGTGCGCCATGGGTGGGATAAAAAAATCAAGCCACAAGAGCTCTATACTCTTTGCACCCCTCTGCATCCCTCTGCACCGCTGTGCGCCCACCTTGTGCACGTCCTCCATGACGTATTTGCCGCTGGGCTTGAGGTCAGCAATGAACGGCACGCGGTCGCTGATGGCCTGGAAGTCGTCCAACGTCAGGTTCAGCCCCACCGCCCTGCATGAGAGGGGGGGGAAGGGCAGGAGATGGCGAAGAGGAGAACAGGAGGTGCAATTGTTGAGGCATCCGAGAGATTACGGAGGATTTGGCAGCGGGGGATCGAGGGTAGGAGGCTGAGGCGCAAAGAGAAGAGGGTGTGAGGGGCAGAGAGGAGAGAGGTGTGTGAGGGGTGCAGGGTTGGTGAGGGCGGAACGAGAGTTGACGGCGTGGTGGCAATGATGTAAACCAGCTCCAGCAGGTGCAGCCGTCCCCAAGCCTTGCAGAGCCTTCACCCTCTGTCCCCGTACCCTATTTCTTCTCACCGGGCGATGGCGATGAGGTGCAGCACGGCGTTGGTGGAGCCGCCCAGGGCGATGACGGTGGTGATGGCGTTCTCCAGCGCCTCCCGCGTGATGATGTCCCTTGGCTTCACGTCCAGCTCCAACAGCCGCTTGATGGCCGCCCCCGCCAGGCGACACTCGTCCAGCTTCAATGGGTCCTCCGCTGGGATGGACGAGCTGTGAGGGGGAAAAAGGGGGTGTGGAGGGGGGATGGGGTGCATGAGAGGAGGGGTGCATGAGGAGGGGTTTGAGTCAGCTTGACGGTTGACGAGCTGAGGGGGAGGAGGGCGGTGTGGGCTGAGGGGAGAATTAGGGGAGCGGAAGAATGGGGGAGCGATTGGTGTGTGGGGGAACTTTGAAAAAGAAAGGCGGAGTTGGGAGGCAGCAAGGGGAGGAAGGGAAGGAAGAGTAGGAAGAAAAGAAGGGAGGGAAGGGAGGGGAAGGCGAGGCACACCTGTAGGGCAGAGTGAGCCCCAGCGCCTCGATGGCGGATGCCATGGTGTTGGCGGTGTACATGCCGCCACACGCGCCCTGCCCCGGACACGAGTGGCGCACCACCTGCTGCCTCTCCTCCTCCGTTATCCTCCCCGCCACAAACTCGCCGTAGCTCTGTGAAGGGTGGGGAGGTGTTGGGGATGCATAGAGAGGGAGAAGAGGACGGGAGAGGGGTGAGACGAGCAAAGAGGGGGGGGATAACTCAACACGACAGCAGGGGAAAAGAGTGGAGAGGCAGGCCGAGGGAGAGGCAGGGAGAGGGAGAGGGAGGGCGAGGGAGAGGGAGGGCGAGGGAGAGGGAGGGCGAGGGAGAGGGAGGGCGAGGGAGAGGGAGGGCGAGGGAGAGGGAGGGCGAGGGAGAGGGAGGGCGAGGGAGAGGGAGGG